CACCCTTATGGCACAAAGTGAAGAAGAACTAAAGAGCCTCTTGATGAAAGTGAAAGAGGAGAGTGAAAAAGTTGGCTTAAAGCTCGACATTCAGAAAACTAAGATCATGGCATCTGGTCCCATCACTTCATTGCAAATAGATGGGGAAACAGTGGAAACAGTGGCTTACTTTATTTTGGGGGGCTCCCAAATCACTGCAGATGGTGACTACAGCCATGAAATTAAAAGACACTTAATCCTTGGGAGAAAAGCTATGACCAACCTAGACATCATATTAAAAAGCAGAAACATTACTTTGCCAACAAAGGTCCACCTAGCCAAAGCTATGGTTTTTCCAGTAGTCGTGTATGGATATGAGAGATGGACTATGAAGAAAGCTGAGCACTGAAGAATTGATACTTTTGAATTGTGGTGTTGGAGAAGGCTCTTGAGAGTCCCTTTGACTGCAAGGAGATCCAACCAGTATTTCCTAAAGGAAATCAGTCGTGAATATTCATTGGAAGGACTGATGCTGAAGCTCCATTACTTTGGTCACCTGATGCAAATAACTGACTCCTTTGAAAAGACCCTGATGCTGGGAAAGTTTGAAAGCAGGAGCAGAGGGGACAACAGAGGATGAGATGTTTGGATGGCATCACCGACTCAATGGACATGAGTTTGAGTGAACTCTGGGAGTTGGTGATGGACAGGGAGGCATGGCATGCTGCAGTCCGTGAGGTTGCAAAGAGTCGGACATGACTGAGCAACTGAACTGAACAGAAAAAATGAAGAAATTGGCTTAAATTTCAGCAAATGAGAAAATTTGTTCAGATGGAATCAAGTCAGCTTTATTATAAATACCCAAAATTCTCCTAGAATAATCCATGTAGTGGGATAAAAGTGGACCCTTGGAGTCAGGATCCAGGGTTACATTACTGGTTCCATCAGTAACCAGCTCTGGACTTTGAGTAAATAGCTTATTTTCATCGATATATACAATTTTCACTATTCAAACTGGTAAAATAATTGCTCTCCTAAGCACAATATATGGCTCTTCAAGGATACCAGTAAAACAGGAGATCTAAGTTTGATTTATAAGTCATGAAAAGAGGGACTACCTTATTTCAAGGCTTCATCCTGGATTATGGGAAACACGGACTTTCTTCTTGGTGCATGCACTAACTCACCATCACCAACTAACCAGGCCAGTTACTAGAAACGAGAGGACTGACCTAGGGTTTTTGAGAGGCTATCTTTCTAATCGTATCTCCATGATTTAGTGATATTTCTGAAAATTGAGGACTCAGACTCTTGCCTTTCATGAAGAAATCTGCTGCTTTGTTGGATCTAAAGGGAAAACTTAAATGAAGAAAAGAAAATGTATGTTTGCATAATACCTTTGTAATCTCCCCAACTGTGCCTATCTCCTAATTCCACACCTGACCTTTCCAAGAGAAGGGAGAATACTTTTCACACCCCATTCCTTCAGGGAAGCTTTCTTTATAAAGTGTTGGATCAAGTATGAGGCAAAGCAACTGAGCCCTAAAGATGGGAGTATGTTGGGAATAAACCTGATGGCAGTGTTGACACTTTAAGTCAGTGGATTTTTCTGGTTTCTATTTCCTGTTCTGTTTAGCTAGTCATCATTTAGTCACAGTTGAGGGAATCCCCAAATTGCTAGCTTGGTCTGAATCACTCTTCTTGGGCAGAAAGAAAGATAGTGAGATTACCTGACTACAATACCGGCTCCAATTTCCCCCCTCTCCCGGTACCCCCATCATTTGCAAGGTGATTTCATGGCCCTTCCCATAAAAATTGTGCTCTTTTCCCTTTCCCTTGAACTGGGGCTCACAGTATGACCTGCTTGGGCACCAGAAGGCAGTGGGAGTGATGGTCACCAGTTCCCAGCCTGGCCCTTGGGAGGCACGGTGTGCTTTCTTCCCTCCTGGGGTCTTGTCTTCTATATGTACATCAGATGGGATAGCTAGAGAAGGAAACTTGGAAAAGAGCCCTATTGTCCCAGCTGAGGTCATCCTAGATCAGCCTTCAGCCAACTGACCTCCCAAATGGGCAAGAGAGCCCAGCTAAGAAACATGAAGCCCTCAGCTCAACTGTGGACTTGTGAACAATAATATACACTTATTGTTTTAAGTCATTGAGTTTGCTATCTTTGTAATGCAGCAATGTAACAATTGATACATATGATATGAATTTAGTGAATCTTAAAATGGAAGGGCCTTTAAGTAGGAAAATTCTAAGTGTGTTAGGGAGAGCACTAGATTAGAACTACATATATAACCAACAAGGACCTACTGTATAGCGTAGGGAACTATATGCAATATTTTGTAATAACCAGTAAGGTGGAAACCTAGGAAGAAAAAGATATATGTGTATCTATAACTAAATCTTTACCGTGTGAGTCAGTAGCTCAGCTGGTAAAGAATCTGTCTGCAATGCAGGAGACCCTAGTTTGATCCTTGGATCAGGAAGATCCCCTGGAGAAGGGATAGGTTACCCACTCCAGTATTCTTGGGCTTTCCTGGTGGTTCAGTCAGTAGAGAATCTGTTTGCAAAGTGGGAGACCTGGGTTTGATCTGTGGGTTTGGGAAGACCCCCTGGCAGAGGGAGAGCATGGCAACCCACTCTAGTATTCTTGCCTGGAGAATCCCCATGGACAGAGGAGCCTGGCGGGCTGTAGTCCATGGGGTCACAAAGAGTTGGATATGACTGAGCATCTAAGCACATAACTAAATCACTTTGCTGTATACCTGAAACTAATACAATATTGTAAATCAACTATACTTCAACAAAAATTTAAAAGAAACCAGAAACTTGAGTCTTCGACCCTTTTATGCCAATTCCTTGGGCACTCAACCTTGGATGAGAAATAACTTTCTCTTAATCCTAATTTCCTTTCACTGAGAAAGGAGATACTAATCGTTTTCCTAACTGTTAATAATTGGGTTGCTGTAAGTATAAAATAAAATAATTTGCTTGCAAATGAAATCTGTAATAGGAAGGAGGTGTTTCAACTCTAACAAAAAATACAGTGAAGCAAGAAAAATTATAACATTTAAGATAAAACAGCTGAAACTCCTTACTATAATAAGAAACATAAAGATCTTGTAGGCAGGAAGTCTAGGCTTCCCAGGTGGCGCTAGTGATAAGAATCCACCTGCCAATGCAGTAGACTTAGAAGACATAGGTTCAAACCCTGGGTTGGGAAGAGTCCCTGAAGGAGGGCATGGCAATCTATCCAGTGTTCTTGCCTGGAGAATCCCATGGACAGAGGAGCCTGGCAGGCTATAGCCCTTAGGGTTGCAAAGAGTCAGACATGAGTGAAGCGACTTAGTACACACCAAGGCAGACACGAAGTCTGGAATGTTTTCCTACATCTCATGTCTGCTTTCATATAAAAAATGACTTGCCCAAGTGAGCAAAGGTGGCATAGAACCAGAGAAAGAAAGACAGAAGATCTAATTGGAATCAGTCCAGATACACGCAGGACAGCACCCTATAGCAGAAAAGCCTGGGCTCTGTATCATGCCTACATGGGGTCAATTTCCAGTCCCTCCCTTTCTGTGCCTTTGTGGCATGAGCAATTAGATTATACTGCCACAAAAAGTCAGTGTATATTTAATTTAACTTAATGATAAGAAAATTGTTGTGAAATTCAGAGCATTCATTCACTGTAGCATTTAGTTACTTTCTTGGGAGATGTTTCTGGGAAGTCCATAGGCTTTATTTGATAAACCTTGTCAACACTGAGTTCAACCTCTGCTCCTTGAACTTTATGACTATAGATACCATAGTTGACCCTGTTAAGCTTTAGTTTCCTCTCTTATCTCCAGTGTGGTGACTGAAATTTGGACCTTATAACTTTAAGGTAGAACACACGGTCCATAAAACTTGCACTGTTTTTTTTTTTCCTACCTAATCATTGTCATATTCTCAAGGCTACATAATTGACATATAATAGGTGCTCAGAAACCATTTATAGAATTAAGGATTTGGGAAATTATTTTAAATGATCTCAGCAACATACTTAACTCATTACCTGGTATATATAAGATTTTTCCTTCCTCATTTCACAAAGTTAAGAGTAAAACACCCCTTTGGAACTGGCTGGCTGGGAAACATGAGAGAAAGAGTTTTCTCTGCATTCTCTTTCATATATTTCAAGTTATACACCATGTAAATGTATTAACTAGATTTGTAAAGGATTGCTGTTATTCAGTCACTAAATTGTGTCTGACTCTTTGCAACCCCATGTACTGTACTACACAGACTTCTCTGTACTTCACTATCTCTCAGAGTTTGTTCAAACTCATGTCCATAGAGTTGGTGATGCTATCAAACCATCTCATTTTATAAAGTAAAAGGACTGCTTCAGGAAGAACGTATAGATAGAAACTCATCTACTTAAGCCCATGGCACCTAGAGTCACTTGTAATGCCCATAGTGATAAGGAAGCAGTCCTTTCAATGGAACCTCCCCTACCCCTTTCTTAGCAATTAGCTTTATATTTTTGTGAGTGGGAGGCACTAAAAAGATCTTGAAACATTTTAAGTTCTATAAAGATGGCAAGTGCCCAACCTTCTCTTGTGGGTAACAGGCAAAGGCAAAGTTCCTCTCCCCAAAGTTCCTGGGGACCAAACAATTTAAAGCTGAAATTTCCATCAGAGTCAAGCCAGGGCTTAGGATGTAAGAGAATGAATCCTGGTGATGCTTAGCCCAGGGAAACCTGCAATGCACCCACAGCAAGAGTGAGTCACGCTAGGCAGGCCTACCTAGAGACATGCCAACTAAAGCAAGGCGTCACAAGAAGAGGAGGGAAGGGCTGAGAGGACTCTGGGTTCCCACACTCCTATTTCCAGATACTCACCTATTGAAAAAGGCAGAAAGGATTCCCTTTTCTTAAACTGTCCATTTTCCAAGAAATGCTCTGGATTGAAGGTGTCAGGGGTGGCCCACTCTGTGGGGTCCCTGTGCAGTGCAGTCAGGTTGGTCACGACCACGGTGCCCTGGAGAAATCAGGAGACTCATGCAAGACACGACACACACAACAGATGTGTGCCGAGGGGCAGCAGTCCCCCGGGCTCCCACATCAAGGCTGATTGAACTTCTTCAGCCTCCCCACCCCTGTACCTGCTGAGCTCAACCCCTAGGACCCTGCTCTTTGCCATGGGACAGCTTACAATGATGGACTGGAATTGTCTGCTGGGAATTTTATCAGCAAAATGTGACTACTCTTAGTGCAGAATGGGAAGGTATGTGCATTAATGAGAGAATAATGTGACAGTGGGCGGGCACCTCTGGACCAAAATCAACCCAGTTGCTCAGTGAAGTGGTAAATATGGCAGCCTCCCCAACATAAAAAATGTCTCATTCATCTGTTTCTCCCATTCTCTTCCCTCCATTATCTCACACATTCCAGAGAAGGTTTAATAATAGAATCAGGTCGCCCAGTGGAAAGAACCACTATCCTTCCCAGCTTGCAGCAAGAAACCCAAGAGTCCTCCTTAACGCCCCTCTTTACTTCATTCCGCCTTCATTCCATCATTTTCCAGGCTGGTCAATTTTCCTTGAAATTCCTCTTGATTCTATCACCTCCATGTTATTTCCCCCCACTGCCTTGTCCAAGATACCACCTTGGTTGTCCACACTCCTACAGTAGGCCTAACTACAACTCTATATCCTCTCCCCCCTTCAAAGTGCTCACACACTGAAAGCAGAGTTAGCTCTGGACATGATTTAGTTATGTCACTCCTATCCACCCAACACTCCTGGAACTTGATAAAAACCCTCCAAACAGTTCTCATCACTCAGATTAAGGACATATCACCAGCCCTCTATCTGAGTCACAGTCCTTCTGCCTACACTCCCACTATATCAAGCCTTTTTCAGTTTCTCTATCATACCACTTGTTCCCATACCTTTTTGCATGGTGGCCTCTGGGCATCTTCATGCCAGTGACTACTCACTAGACCTGCCAGTGGCAGGGTCTTTGTCCCTGCCATGAGCCCCAGCTGCCCCCTGCCTCTGCAGGAGACCTTCCAATATTAGTAGGTAGATCTGGTCCAGACTCTTATGAGGTCACTGCTATTTTTCCATGGGTCTCAGTGTGCACATGACCCAAGAGTAGAGTTGATGCTTCCTTTAGTCCAGTGGAATTCCTACAATAAAAGGCTGGTGACATTCAAAGTCAGATTCTCGGGGGCTCCTCCTGATGCCAGACCCTCAGGCTGGGAAGATTGCCTTGGGGCTCAGGACTTTCACTCCTGTGGCAGAACTTCTGTAGCATAATTGTTCTCCAGTTTGCAAGTTGTCCACCCAGTGGGTAAGGGTCTTGGAGAACAGTACATCAGAAAAAAAAAAAAAATCTTAGAAAACCAATCTCTTGAGCTAGGATGGCTCTCTGGAGCTAAATGAATTGCTATGAATATGTGAAGATCACCTGTAATATCACCTAGACCTCAGAATTCATCCATAAGATGGTCAATCAGCAAGAAAATAGTTAATGAAATCGCTGCAGGAATAGCTGCTTCTCCAAGACCTGCAGGGACCATGACCAAGGCGAGCCCAAAGCAGAGGCTCTTCTGATTTTATCTTGAAATCAACACCATGTTCGACACACTATGAGGGACTCAGACAAACTGAAATGGATCTATGGAAATGGACTTAGGTGTTGAGAAAGCAAAACTGTGAATGTGTGGTGTGCAGAGATGGCACTTGTGGGGACAGGAGAGCTGATTGCTGAGATCCTAAGAGTGATTGGCAGAGCGCAGAACTGCCTTTGTGAGGACAGGGAATTTAACAGGGTCCTACTGAGAACAATTTAAGGAGCTTCTTTTAAAGCTAAATAGAGCAACTCCTGTGGAGAAAACATGGTATAGTACAAAAAAGAGGAGCCTGGGGCCCAGAACACATCTATTTCTTTAACTCAACTCTTGTCACTTTGTACACCAGAGATTTTATGCAAGATCAATCAGCTCTGAGCCTTCATTATAAATTTGTAAAAAAAAATAAAAAAAAGAATTATTCTGAGGACTGATTAAGTTGAAAGAACCTATATAGTCCATAGTACATGGTCACTGCTTAAAAACCATTCGTTCTTTCACTCCTTTTGGATATTCAATGTGCACAGGCTTGGATTGATTCCCTTGTGAGGTAGTCCCATCAAGGGACTGTAAGTCAAGGCTGGAAGCAATACCTGTGGGGATATTATGTTAGAAACACCAGTTTAATGTGATGTTGGCCCAGGAGATTTCAACTGTCTCTCATATTTCAACATTCTAAACCCCCAGGATTTTGAAACAGAATTTTCCAAAATAAGTCTGGCAGGTCCCTATCCTGTGAAAAGCTCTCCCATGGCAAAGAAAAGGACCTCATGGCAAAGTCTGACTGAGAATTGCTGCCTGCAGTTTCCCCACAAGAATTAACAATGCACGTCAGGTAGTAAAAAGAATGAGAAATTTCATAGCAGAGAAAAGCCAGCCTTTGTCTGAACATGTTTGATGTAGGAATCCCCCGTCTCCTCTAGAACGACTATTAACATTTATTTGAACTAATATTCTAAAGACCCCATGTAAAGAAAAATATCTAGAATTACATCAGTGGTAATATATCTCCCTCTCCAATTAAGCGTTTTCCTAAGACAAGAAAACACATCACATTTGCCACTGAGATTCCCATCATTTACAAATACGAGCTTGGAGATCTGAGGCTGTTGGTGGGAGCCCCTAATTACCTTGGGCAGGTGGTATCCGGCCAGGGTGGTGTCCACTGCCACCTCCCGGGGCACGTTCAGAGGGATGATGTTCCCCATTCGCAGCACCTCGTGGATGACAGCGTTGGTGTAGGGCATGGACTCTCGCGCGGCTGTGCTTGGCTGTTGCGATTGGCCGAGCACCCTGTCAATCTCAGCTTGGACTTTTTCTGAAAAAAGCAGAGGTGGTTCTAGTATTCTGTTTTTCCATAACTCTCCTTGAGTCTGGTTGAGTTAAGGAATGAAATAACCAGCATCAAAATGACTATCTTAGGCTCTCCAGACTAGCTTCTCAGGGAGGTGTGAGAGTGGGAAGTGGGCCCTGGTGTGAGACAAATTAGGTGGAAAACTCTTGCTCAACAACATTCCTGCTGCGAGTTCCTAAAGCTGTGTGAGCCTCAGGTTCCTCTTATTAGTGAGGGTGAACCAACTTTCCCTTTAGGAACACTGAGACATAGATGAACTAATTTATGGAAGCATACTGACCTGGCCGAGGCCCATCCACTAATGAGCTCACCTTGGATTTCGGGGTTCAGGGCCATGTAGAGCAGCCCCCAGCGCAGGGTGGTTGAAGTTGTCTCTGTTCCAGCCAAGAAGAGGTCCAGGGTGTTGTAGATGAGGTTTTCTTCACAGAAATTTGAAGCAGCATCGCCCTTATGCTAGAAAATACAGTGATTATTGGTTTATCCAGATGGTTCTTAGTTGCCACAACATAGGAGGCTTCACCCTAGAGAGAACATGGGAGGAGAGATTCCCCTAAGAGAAATGACTTTTCCTTTGACCATCTCAGCAGGCAGAGGCTTATTATTGCAGTATCATTAGCATCTTCCTGCTCCAAGTGCTGGAAGCTTTTGTCACCTTAGATGGATGAAAATTGAGAGAATCTTTTTACTTTCGTATTTTGGGAGAATCTATTATTATATTGGAAATAGAATAATATTTGCATTCCAATATTAGCCACACCTTTCACTGTATGTACAACTTGACCAAGTTACTAAACCTCTCAAACACTCTGTGTTCAATATTCACTCCTCAATTGGCATTATGAACTATGTGAGATGGAAGGGTCATATAAGAAATCCTCAACAAATGTTTGTATTGATACCAGAAAGAATAAAATGAATTTCTCTAAAGTACAATTCTCACCATTCCCCATTAACATCCTCCTTAGGTTAAACTTCTCTGATTCCAACAATCATTCCTCATGGCACTCCAGCATCTTCACCACTTTGCTATAGGAGCTTCAATGTGTCAGTGTTCCTCTGTGTGCCTGCACACCTTATAACAAATGAAGTCTCCTCCTCTCAGGAGGAATCAATACTTCTGTTAATGGTATAACAGTAAGGTGAAATAAGAGAGGAGACAGAAAAAAAAAATTCACCATTCTTTCAACTCTGTGAGATGGAAAGGTCATATAAGAAATCCTCAACAAGTTGAAAAGTTGAAAATGAGTCAAAAATAATGACACTGATGCAATGATGAGTATTAACCTCAGGGCTTAATATGTTAAAGGACCTATATTCAATTTGGCCTTTTCCCTGCATCTCACAAACAACATTTGAAAGTGCATGAAATAGGGAGGAGGGAGGAAGGCAAAAGTCCTCCACTTGAGACTAACCTTTGGCATCTGACTCAGCTTCACTTATACTCTGCGCTGGGGAACTGGGGAAGGGGTAGGGGACTGGACATTGGTACAAGTAATAATGAAACAATGCTTCTTTTCCCTATTGTGTACAGGTCTTTCAGATATGGGTAGAGGATAGAAATAGACTATCAAAAGGCAGTATATGTGGGCTTTCCAAAGACCTCAAGCTGAATACTCTTAAACCAATATCTTTGTTTCAAATGTATCATCAATTCTGAGCCAATGATATTTCTATACTCTGAAATAGTGTCTCTGTTTTTCCAACCTTGTGCTAGGCTGAATAATGACCCACAAAAATGTCCATGTCCTAATCTCTGGAATGGGTAAATGTTTTTTGACAGATGGAACTTCGTAGATATCATGAAATTAAGGATCCTGATATGGATTATCCTAGCGTGCCCTTTGTAATCAGAAGAGGAGACAAGGAGCAAATTAAGAGAGGACGTGAGGACAGTGGAAAAGAAGACATTACATCAATGGCTTTGAAGACTGAGGAAAGGGGCATGAGTTCAGGGGTACAGGCAGCCTCTAGATGCTGGAAAAGCCCATCAGTGGATTCTGCCCTAGAGCCTCAAAAGAGCCAGCCTGCCCCAACCTTGACTTGATAAATGTTGGTGTTTTAAGCCACCAAGTTTGTGGTGATCTCTGACAGCAGCAATAAGATATCAGAATCACCTCGTTTGCTCTTTAAGAACACTACTCAGGAAAACACTCAGGTTCCTTCACCTTTTCTATTTCCTGGAGATAAGCATCAATGAAGTCTCTTGCTTCAGCAGGATTCCGGTCTCTCTTGTGGTTTTCAATCATTTTGGCAACAAACATTTTAAGTTTCTCCAAATTACTAAAGAGGGTTTGGTGGGGACCCGGAAGGAAATTCATTATCCTTGGAAAGACATTGTAGAGCTGATGGAGAAAACAAGAGAGTCATGGAGACAAGGAGGTACCCGTTTTCCACTTTTGAAGACAAGGAAACCATTGTATCTCTATATGTATTTTCTTTGCTTACATTAACCCTTGGAGTCACCCTTGACTCATCTTCTCTGTCACACCCCTCTTCTTTCCCCTCTGGCAAAGCATTTCAACACTCCATCCAAAATAGAACCATCTTCAGACCACTTCTCAGTAGTCCGTCTGTTTGTCATTCTAGGACAAAGCCCCAGCATTTCTTACCTAGATGCTTTAAGGCCTCCCAGCAATTTCCCTGATTCTCTCCTCAACCCCTTTCCCAGTCTATTTTCCACTGAGCTGCCGGAGAGATCATTTAACAGTTTAATCAGATCATTCCACTATTTATCTTTCAATCCTCCAATGACTTTCCGTGAAATTTAGACAAATTCTACATCACTCTCCTGGCCTGGAGCTCTACATGAGTTGGCCTCTTCCACGCCTGTCCCCTCTTCTGCTATCACTCACTGCCATCTTACTCTTAGTCCAGCTCCATTGGTCTCTGTGACAACATCAAGAATGACAAGGTTTAGTCTTTTCCATTCACTATTCCTTCAATGAAGATTGGTCTTCCTCTGGAATTTGTATAATCCTAGCCTTTTATTTCATTCAGGTTGGCTCTTGCTTGGAGATATCTTACCTGATAATCCTATAATGCAGTACTTCTGGAACCTCTTCCCATTCCCTTATTTTATATTTTTTCATTACATTTTCCTCTAATATGTGTGTATGTATCTTTGTGTATGAAACATCTCTTTCTAGCTAGCTAGTTAGTTATGTTAAACATAGATATGTGTTTATCTATCTTACCATTATGATGTATTCTTCATGTGGATAAGACATTTTTAATAAAATTAAGTGTATTTTGGATATATTTTCCCTAAAAATATCTGGTAGAAAACAGATAGCCCAACATAATGGAAAATTGCCTAGACTTAAAATGAAACATACATGCTTTTGAATATTAGCTCTACTGCTTTCTAGCTATAAGGCTTTGGGAGTAATAATAATGGTAATAATGACAATAATGAAGATGATGATGTAATTTGTCCGGGCTTATTATAATCTGCTGCCACTGGGGCACCAGGGCTATTTTCCTTACTCAATCACATGAGATCTATTCCACACTTAACACACAGCCAGTGGATCACTATGTGAATATGCTTAAGCATTCCCATATCTACTTGCATACTTTAGGATGCTCCATTTCATTTTTAAAGGATTGTTGTAAAAATTGACTGAAATAAAGTATATTCAATTGTCAGTCATACCGCCTTATCTATTTTGGGTCTCTAAAAAATGCATATTACCCCCTGCCTCACTGCCTCATCCAACCTTCTTCAAATTCCTTCTCAGGAATTTCTTTTCCCTGGGAATAGTCAACACATGCTCACTGTGGTCCCAGACTTCCTAAGTTCTGTCTTAATAGTAAGGAATAAAATGGAATTACTGAATGGAGGGGTTACCATGATTAGAAGTGACAATAAGAAATGTTGTTCAAAAATAATACTGATAATAATCATAGTAGCTCACACTCATTATGTCCATTTTCTGTGCCAGGATTCATGCTAACTGCTTTATCAGGTTAGGTGAGATGGGTTCAAAAATCTCCAGGCAATGTTACTTGTTAAAAATGATTTCAAGTAAATCCTCCTTTACATACACAAGGGTTTACCCCAACACTTAGGGCTGATTTTCCCCTAACAGTGCCTTCCAAATAAACAAAAGGGGCTGAGAGACCAAGCAGATGAGCAGAGCTTTTGACAGACTTAAAACCCTAGCAGGACAAAAGGAGACAGCAGGGACTACCAAGGACAGGGTGAGGGTTGAATCCCTTAAATCAATATCCTAGAAATTTAGAAAACTGGTAGTAACAAGTGTGGATGGGCATGAAAATAGACCAACAGGTGAAAACCATTAAGGATATTTACATACAGGTGCATATGCAAGAGAAATGAGTGGATGTGTCCACATGAACAATAAAACAGGAATGTTCATGGCAGTTTTATTCATAACATCCTCAAATTAGAAATCCCTCATATGTTCAATAAATCTGCAAGCATTATTCAAGAGAATAACAATCAGTGGCACCTGCATGCAGAGGAAAACTACACAGAGTAAATTAGAAGACCCAATAAATAAATTTCAAAACAATGAGCTGAGTTAGAGCCAGGCACAGAAGCATACATCTGAGGATCACAGAGGTGTGGGACTAGGGAGGGACATGGACAGAAGGGACTCAATAGTGATGGCAGTATTCTGTTTTTTAAGGAAAAGAATATAGTGTATACCTGTAAGTCATGTAAAGTACTATACTTTACACAAATGTTAGTAAAGTTATTTATCAATAGTAAATATTTGACAATATTATAAAAATCATTAAAGTCAACAGATTGATTTCAAACAAGTTTGTGCCGAAGTCAATTTCAAAAGGTTATCTTTTAGCTACAAAGGAAAGGAAGACCCCATCTAATCTGTGACGGACATTAGCCTAATGTCTTTATGAAAGATAGGAGGTGACAACTGCCTCACCTGGCAGCACACTGATGTGTGCAGATTTAAGACCTCGTCCAGCAGCCTCAGCAGCTCCTGGAACTGATCATCCTGGTAATCAAACCGCTCCCCGAAGGTGATGGAGCAAATAATATTGGAAACGGCATTGTTGATTGTGAAGTGAGGGTCAAAAGGCTTTCCTGGAGGAAGAAAAAGAGATGGAGCCTTCAGATAGGATTGTTTCTATTTTCCAGAGATCCTACTCTGTGTGACATATGACAGACCGACTACAGAACCACCTCTGAGACTGTGACCCCAGGGTCTGACACTGGGCAAGTACTTAGTCAATGCATGGGAAGTCAAACTGATGACCAGGACTTAAAACCAATATGTTTACTACCCATCTTTTTCTTAATTCATGAGCCCCATGAGGAGGACAGGTCATGGTTAGCTGTTCCCTGTTATCCCCTCAGCACCCTACACAATTCTGGGCTCAGGAAAGGCAGGTAGGCACTGATGAACATCTGGTTAATGGATATATGAGCCACGGTCCCTGCACCTGTCCTATGACATGCTCACCATTCTCCTCTCTTATCGTCTGGATGAGGTAGGAGGCCTCCTCCTGAATGCGTTCCTCTAAGCTCTTCTTTCCTAAACCAAAGTTCCTAAGAGTTGTCAGGGCAAACCTTCTTTGTTCCTTCCATATGTGACCACTGGACATGATCAAGCCTGGGAAAAGAAAGCCAACATTATGCAAAAAAAGCCAACAAGACCTGTGATGTATCAGAAGGAAGAAAAAGGGCTTTAAGGTGCTTGAAACTATTCAGAGAAATAATTTCAAAGCAACTGATATAATGGGTTGAATTTACTGATTGCTTGCAATGCTGGAGACAGTATTTTTAATGCATTCTGGGATTTAGTACTTACTCTCTGATATACTTCTATATATGTCACTACTGCCAAACCAGCACCCCAATTTTGTTGATGAGAAAATTGAAGCACAGGAGATAAAAGTATACTCTGAAAGGTCACAGAGTTGGAGCAGCAGAACAGGCATTCATTTTCAAGTCTGCCTGACTCTGATGCCCATGCTTCGATTACTTGTCACATACTATATTTGTTATGCTACATACTAAGCATGCACTAATGGACTAGACAAAATCAAAACTCTTAAGCAGAAAGTGTTTAAATATCTTTACAAGATAGATGAATCACCCAAGAAAACAAAGAATTTGAATGGTGTGCAGAAAGAAAATCACAGGCAAAGGATAAAAAAATCCATCATGAGGGGTGCAGAGAACTTCATTTATTTTATAACACAGGGGAGACCACCACCCTCTCAATTCTTCATTCCAGTACACTCTTCCACTCCTTCTAATATCTCCCTTTCACTTCCACCACCTTAGTGAAGTGGCCCTCCCTGCTGTTCAGTCCAGGATCCTTTTCAGCCTCATGTTGATGTGTCAACAGCAGGAGATGCTTTTTTCTTGAAACACTCTTTTCCAGCAGTGCTCAGGACAGCATGCTCTCCAGACTTTTCTGCTAATTCTCTGACTTCACAGAATCATCATACCTTCAGTTAACTTATCTCCTATCAAATTTTGAAATGATGGACCTTTTCAAGCTTGGGTCAAAGCCTCTTCTCTTCTTACCTTTATCCTCCATTTTTACTAAATCTTAGCAACTCCAAATATTTCAAATGACATCTACTGATGTGAACATCTATATCTGTGCCTCCACTGCAGACATGTAACCAATTTTCTGCTTGACTCTACTCAGCATATTCATGACTCAGTTAATGATTTGCTCCATACAACTCACCACCCAGGCCAACGAACACCTTGTTCTCCTCCACATCTTCCTTTTTTCCTTTACCTACCCATTTGGGTGTCTACCTCATTCTCCCATCATGTCCTATTGAATATGCCTCCTGAATAGCTTAAATCAACTTGTCTTCACAGTCACTCTCCTAATCTACTGGACTGCCATTTCTTGCCACCTCCCTAGTTCAGGCCACCACCTCTTCTCCCTTAAAATTCTACAATAGTCTTTTGGTCCTTTTAATCCATTCTTGACATTGAACCTTAGAGAAGTCTTTAAAACTTACCATGTAAGTATATTGATTCCTTTTACTACTTAAACATTCAGAAGCCTGCATTGTGATTAGGATAAAAAGCTATATCCTTAAACATGAACTATTTCTGGCCAAACTTAGCATCTTCATCTTCATTTAATTATCTCCATTTAAACTCTGTTCTTCTCACACTGGATACCTTTCAATTCTTCAGTTCACTGTCCTTTTTCCCATCTTAGAAACTTTTCATATTCTATTCCCTCTAGTGGATTGCTTCTTCATTTTATTATTTGTTATTTACTTAAAATAGCTTTTCCTGAGTCTCAGGACCAGATTTGGTACCCATACTAAGTGAACCCTGCTCTTATCTTCATAAAACTGAGGCGTTAAATTTTAGTACTTGATACTGTCTCTCTTAATAGCATGTAAATTACACAAAAATCAATAATTTTTTCCTGTTTTACTCACTACTCTGTCACTGGAGCCTCTAGTCCTAGGTTCTCATGGCAGATGATCGAGTGAATGGATGTAGAATAATGGGTGAAGTATTTCAAAGAGGGATTGAGAAATACCTGAAAAAAATGGTGTTTTTATAGAAGTATAGATTTAAGTTCTTCATTTAGTTTTTTGAAAATATAAGTTAATTTAGTGACCATGCTAAGTATTCATGCCAAACTCTTTTAACATAGATAGAAGGCTTGAGATACCTTTGGGGCACAGCCTTAATAATAGAGCATAAGGAACTGGAGGTAAGAAGGGATCACTTAATCAACAGGAACAAGCTGATCCACATCCATTTTCTAGATGAAGAGATCTGAGTGGGAAAGCAGAAAGAGAGCCTGAGGATGCAATGCCTTTTCTCTGCTTAAACAACACATCACATCACTGAGTGATGAGGATACTTATGTATCAAAGCATCCAGAGTGAGTTCATGCAGGTGATGTCGCTTCTCCCAAATTCCTGACATTAGAGCTGACTCTGCCAGGTGTCCTGAGGGAGTGCCTTCAACAGGGAAACGCGGGCACTCAGGTTCCTTATGGAGAGCTTGGTCCCTGGGATTGTTGGAGATACTTTCTGCAGACCATAAGAATATCAAACATATGTTAACCAATGTAAGAACTTACCTTTATTGTTGAAGATATGCTCTTGGAGAGGCATTACGGGGCGGTTGGAAAAGTTTTGGCCTTGGTGGACAAGTGCTTCTTTAATTAAGGGTAATCCAGTTACAAGAACAGAAGGAAATGTACCAAAATCCAAGCTAAAAACATTCCCATATTTCTTCACAAACTGAAAAATAGTAGAAGAGTCACAGTTATACATGCACATGTCTGTGTGTCCTGGAATGGAGGGTATGTAGAGCTGTGGGAGACTATATTGAGGGGAATCTCTCTCTCTCTCTCTCTCTCTCTCTCTCTCTCTGTGTGTACCTTGGGCTGTTGGAAATATTTCTGCCTGTTTTCATTTCAATACACTACAGGACACAGACATTCATTATAAATACTCATCCATATGTTCATCATACTTGGATTGAGTGAGCATATGTATCATGAGAGTAAGGCATAAAAATACAATAAAATAAGCAAAGTCTCTAACCTCAAGCATTTTTGAGTCTAGTGAAGGGAGAGAATTCAGCCCATGTGACTCACCAGAGAAGGCAGAGATGTGTTTAGTGAATGTCTGGGGTAGAAAGCATGGACTTCATAGTAAATCATATCTGTTTAACCACAAGACAGTGTCCCCTACATCAGGTTCTATGTGGCAAAAAATTCATTACAGGGCTAGGACCAGTCATAGACAAGAGCTCACAAGCTGGAGCCATGTAAACTCTATGGTTGGCTAGCTGTGAGATCAGGAAAGTTGTTTCATTTTCTTGGATCCTTGCTCCCCAGCTCTAAGAGGGAGAAAATTATTTTTCGCTTACAGTTCATGGAGGGGTAATTCCCTGGCTGTCCAGTGGTCAGGACTTGGACTTTCAGTGCCATGGACACAGGTTTAATCCTGGACGGGGAGCTAAAATCTCACAAGCAGGGCAGTGTGCCCTCTACACCCCCTGAAAAAGGGGGAAAAGTTTCTGTGAGGAAGAGTGAGAACAACAATAGGAAAGGCAGTTTGTTTTCTGATACGGGCAGACAGCCACTCTAGACTCTGGGGAATGAATGGGCTCCGTGAGCAAAGCAGCACAGGTGCAGGTGCTCACGGGGGCGGACAGGAGAGAGCAAAGGGCTGATGGACAGGAGGAAGGCGCTGGGGGCCACAGACAACCACACCCACCGGGAGCCACGATAACCACCTCCCACCTTTTGTCTCATTGCCCTCACACCACCCTATGGCGGTAATGATATTATTCATGTTTTGGTAAGGAAAATGAGTCATGGAGAAGTAACTTAGCCAAGGTGACAGAGATATATGGGCCTGGAGGTATTTGTGAGATTTAAGGACAAAGACATAAAGCTGAAATAGCACTGGGAACTTAGAGTTTACTGGATGTGACAGCGATGAACTGAGGATGAGAGCAATGGGGCAGCGAGAGGAGAGAGCGAGAACTCATGAGGGGAAGAGTGTGGGTGTGTCACAGACACCTAGGACCCAGGGCTAGGAATGGTGCCTGGAGAGAATACGTCTCACCTGTGTAGGGAGTTGGGCTACAGTGTCGGAAAGGTGCTAGAATTAGACCAAGAATCTCTTAATGGCAAAAGGTGAGTGCTTAAGAACTTGGATTTGGAAGGCAAACAAAGTGCTTTGTATCCAGCTTCCACTGGTTACTTTCTATGTTATATTTGGTTAAGCTATATAACTTCCCTCTGTCTCAGTTCCCAAAGGTATAAAATGAGGGTTGTTACAAATCTCATCATTGGGATTCTGGTGTTAGTAATCATAACACTAAAATTAATAATAAAAATATGTATTATTATTGATATATTTAGAGTGTATTTTAGCAAGTAATTCTTGTGAGATATTGACAAAGAAATAGAGGGGAAATGGCCAGAGAGTGATACCATTTCCCTATCATGGTCCAATAAGATTTTTTTCTTATTCACACAAATGATTCTATAATAAGCCAGACAGCTATGGTAGAAAATATTTAGAAAATGGGGCATGGGAAAGTAGGAAGGTTCTCATCATGCCAAACAGATCAGCCAGTTTCTTCACTGCCTTCTCACTTTCTTTCAGCTCATGTTACTTCTCCAATTTAAAAATCTCCTGTCCACTTTACTCCACACAACCACTCGCCTACCATTCTGTTCAAGTTCAGTCAAATTTATTTCAGGATTCTACAGAGGTTATCCCCAAGGTTTCCTATTCACAGTGAGCCACCTAATGACATCTCACTTGGTTACCAAAAATTTATACCACACATTTCATCACATACTCTCTTGTATTATGCTGTCATTCGATAAGTATGTCATAAATGCCTGTTGGATAAATGAAACCCTTAAAAATCAATTACCTGCTACCTATATCATGAAAAGTAGCTGAGGTAAAGACCAGATGTAAGTTTCAAGTCCTTGTTTGGCCATTATCGATTTTCAATAACTTAGGCAAATCACTTAGTTTTTGACTCGATGGACATGAGTTTGAGCAAGCTCCGGGATTGGTGAGGGACAGGGAAGGCTGGCATGATGCAGTCCATGGGGTTGCAGAGTTAGACATGACTGAGTAACTGAACTGAATGACTGCATAGCATATAAGGTTTACAGCAAGCACTTAAAGCACAATATAAAGAGATGTACCAAAAAAAACTACGGATAAATTAAAAAGGAATTCTTAAAAAATATTTCTGTGACCCACAGGAGAAAGGAGAAATAGAGGAACAAAAAACAAAGTGAAAAATAGAAAATAAATAGTAAAATTGGAGACTTAAGTGTTTGCACATCAAAAATTACACTATATACAAATGATCTAGATTCACCAATTAAAAGAGATATTGGTAGAATGAAACACTGAGCCACTTATATGTTACTATAAAAACTCATTTCAAGTATAATCATATAAGTAGGTCAAAAGTGAAAAAATGGAGACGCGTGTGTTACAGAAACACTAATCAAAAGACAGCTGGCGTGGCTATATTATATCAAATAAAGTTCAGGCAAAGAAAATCATCAGGGTTAAAGAATGACAGTAGGTAATACTTAAAGAGCCAATTCACCAAGATGACATAACCATTTTAATGTGCACGAGCCAAATAAATAAAGTAAAACTACCAGAACTGACCAAACACAGAAATAAATCTCTAATTATAGTTGGAAATTTAACATGCCCCTCCTAGTAATGGATAGAATGAGTAGATAAGAAGTCAGCACGGGTATGGAAGTACTAAACAACACACTCATCTTTTCAAGCCTAACTGACATATAGTACGGAACGCTTCACGCAGCAACAGAATATTTTTTTAAAGTGTCTATCATGGGCCATAAAACCAACCTTTGCATATTTGTTCAAAGTTGAAATCATATAGTATATGTATTCTGACCGTAATGAATGCCAACTGTAAATCATTAATAGAAAGAAAAGAAAATCTTCTAATACTTAGAAATTAAAAAACACATTTCTTAAAGAAAGGCACAGATTCAGGATCCTAGCATTTTAGCTTTAAAATTCTATATAGGAATCACATCACTTAATGCTACTTAATGACATTTTTAAATGAAGACTTTAGTGAGAGTGGACTGTTTATGGAGGAGCCTGAAAGTGAGGGGCTCTGTCCTTGTGGGGTTGGAAGCAATGTGGTTACAAAATGGTGAGGATTTAAGTGGTGATTGCTCAGCAGGTAAAGAATCCACCTGTAGTGCAGGAGACACAGGAGACTCGGGCTCGATCCCTGGGTCTGACAGATGCCCTGGAGAAGGAAATGGCAACCCACTCCACTTGTGCTCGAAAAAATCCCATGGATAGAGGACCCTTGCAGGCTACCACTCATGGGGTCACAAAGAGAGAGGCAGGACTGAGCTACTAGGCATACGCACACACATCCTCATTTTACACTTAGAAAAGGGAACCTCCAACAGGGGAAGTATAGCATCCCCCCTCCCCCTACCAAGGATAAAATTATTAAAAAGACAAAATTATCAACTACAAATTGAATGTCCCAGTAGTACGTAACAAGACACAACTAAATGACTTACAGATGTTTTATATCTGTCACCCTCAAGGCTCTAACAAAAGAAACTGAAGAGAAGACACAGGGTCACCTAGTCAAAAACATTTACTGAGCATGCAGAGGGGGTTCTGACCCATACTCTATCCAAATATCCCTAACAGGAGAGAAATTATGCAGATAACCAAGCTCCTGGAAGCATATGAGACTTCAGATGAGTGCTGCACTTCAATATTCACACTTCTTTCCATCAGTTAGTTGGACTGAGAAGCAAGTTTTGCTTTGTACATTAAACCTGCAGCTCCCCCCCCGCCCCGCCCCCGCCGCAAAGCGCATGGAGTCGGGATTCTTTAATAGTAAACAGTTAACAATAGTTCACCCCTAGAAAGCACAGCTGGAATCATTCCAGTTGATGGTGAGGAAAGAAGTTCAACATCGGGTGTAACCGGGTTTCCGATCTAACCTCAGAGCCGCCTCAGTCTCCTGTGCTCGGTACCCGGAATGGCCCTTGGCCTGCAGGTCAGGGTCAAGAAGTGGCCCTGACACCTTCGCCCGCTCCTACCTGCTGAATGGTCAGATGCGCCTTCTCAGGGTCCAGCTGGAACAAATTGCCTACGAAGGGCAGGCTGTGGGGCCCCGGCGGGTAGTTCTTTGGATGCCGCCTTTTGATGAAATCAACAAAGAAGAGAAAGGCGAGTGTCCCCAGCAGGACGGTGCCAGGACGGAGCGCGGCCCAGAGGGTCGACGCCAGGAAGCTCAGGGCCTCCAACATCACTGCGATGTCTGGTTTCGCTTCTGTCCTTAGAGAGTCACGAGCCGGTGAGGATCTGTGAGTCTGTGCGCTCAGCCGGGTTCCCAGGCCCCGCCCCATCCTACCGTCTCACCCCGCCCTTCCCTCCTCCCACCACTGCTCTTCCCTCCCCCCGCGCTCCTAAGCCCCACCCCGGGCTCCCTGTGGAACCGGCCCCTCCTCGCCCTATCTCAGATCCTGCCTCCTCCTCCCTTCTTTCCAACTTCCCCCCACCTGAGTCTGTTCTTCTCTGGGCTGGAGCCCAGCCTGCCTGCTACCCACTAGATGTCAAGCATGGGATTCCCTGGTGAACCTGCCTGAATGTCAGAAAAGGCCAGGCTGGGAGGGTTTTTTATTTCTGTCTAAAGAATATTCACAGCCTTAACATTGATAGTTAAGTTTTATTCCATGAGAATTTTAGGACTTCAAGCCTGGGAGACAGCATCTCAACTAACCCTGAAAGAACTTCTCAGAGGAGGGGGGATGATTTGGGGGATGGGTAATGGCACCCCACTCCAGTATTCTTGCCTGGAGAATCCCAGGGACAGAGGAGCCTGGTGGGCTGCCGTCTATGGGGTCGCACAGAGTTGGACACGACTGAAGCGACTTAGCAGCAGCAGCAGTGTGGTGTGGGCAGGAACCAGATTATGCAGAAGTCTTGCAACAAAGGGCAGGTAGCCTGAACGGCAAAAGATTATTGTTAATTAAAGGAAAACTAGCTATCTCAAGTTAAGGAGTTTAGCGCTTTTCTATGTATGGGAAGATGCAAGAGCCTGGGCTCACTGAAATCATTCCTTTGATAGGCACCTCACCTATCTGGGGCCAGTATCCAGTGTCCTCACATCCTGAGTTTCCTTAGGGCTCAACATAGGGAGTGGCTGCAGTCTGATGGCTGCTAGATGGCATATATTCTTTTTTTCCTGAGTTTCCTCATCAGCTCACCATCTTCAGTGGCTGCAATCACTGATGACTTTTGCTGACATCCTTTGTTTAGTGATAAGACAGGAAGTATTCCATTTCTCTTTAGTTGGTTTGTTTTTCCTTTTGCTCTATTTAGAGAGCCTATCATTCTGAGACCAAGGGGCCTCTAAGGTTTATTGTATCTCAGAGAGATCCACAGGCACTTGAGCTTCCTATTTTTCTATCAACTTTTCATGAAAGGATTGGAACCTAGCCTGGTGAACCATCAGAAAAACAGCATCATCTGATGTTTCTTGTGAGCTGCTCTACAACAAGGAACTGAACTCTCCACACCAACTGCTTAAGTGAACAAATATGCAGATGAATTCTTTGTTCCATCTACCAGTTAAGGAAAAGTAAACATCTTTTCAAACAAAGTTTGATGGAATTTGTTGCTAGTAGACCTGCCTTACAATAACGTTTAGGTCGTTAGAAAGAAGGAAAGATATATAGGTCAGAAACGCAGATCCAAATAAAGAACACTAGAGAAAAAATAAAATTATATTTACATCCTACTTTTTCTTAATAGAGCTGATAATAGAGTGTGTTAACAGTAGAAATAGCAACAAGGTATTTGGTGATTTTATCATATAGATAAGTGATATGAAAGATGCAATGTTGGCTGAATAGAAGAAAGGGGTTAGGAACATTCCATTAAGGTCCTTGAACTTCAAATTAAGCAGTGTAGTACTATTCGCAGCTAGATTTGAATTAGTTGGAAATGTATACTGTGAACTGTAAGTCAACAACTGAAGTTTTAAAAAAGAAATATAATCAACATGCTAAGACAGAAGAGAAAATGGAGTTATACAAAATACTTAGTTAAAACCAAAGAAGAGAGGAAAAAGAGTGAAACACAAAAAAGAAACAAATCAAATGCAATGAATAGAAAACAGTAATGACTATGGTAGATGATCTGTATCAATAACCACATTAAACATTAATATTCTGAACACACTAATTAAAAGAATGTTTATCAGAGTGCATTAAACAGACCAAGATGCACTATTTATTTTTGTAGGTGTTGAGTCCTGAGACTTTGTTGAATTCATTTATTATTTCTAACAGTTTTTGTGTACATGTAATCTTTAGGGTTTTCTAGATACTACTATGGGTTTCCCATTTGGTGCAGTGGTCAAGAATTGACTGCCAATGTAGGAGACACAAAGAGACCCAGGTCGATCACTGGGTCTGGAAGATCTCCTGGAGAAGGAAATGGCAATGCATTCCAGTATTCTTGCCTGAAAAATTCCATGAACAGAGGAGCACAGTCAGCTACAGTCCGGGGGGTCACAAAGAGTCAAACGTAAGTGAGCACACACACACACACACACACACACATTAAAACAATGTCATCTGCCCACAGAGATAATATTAGCTTAGCATCAAAAAGAACAAGATACTTAGGAATAACTTAAGCAAGAAGGCAAAGCACTTATACATTGAAAATGTAAAATATTTCTCAGCAAAATTGAAGAAGATGCAGATATGGAAAGATATCTCATGTTCAAAACTGAAAGACTTAATATTATTAAATTGCTCATGTTAGTCAATACAATTCCTATCAAAATCCTAAAGGCATTTTTTACAGAAATAGAAAATACAATATCTATATGAAAGCTCAAAGACTCTGAATAGTCAAAACAGCCTTGGACACCTCACACTTTTGTCTATGAGCTGTCTATAAGATAACTGAGAGAAGTGAAATCATGTAATATTTGTCTTTCTGTGGCTGGCTTATTTCACTTAGCATAAAGTTCTCAAGGTTCATCTATTTCTAGAACTTGAAAAGATTTATTTCTTCTTATTGGCAGAAGAATATTTCATTGAATGTATAGTCCACATTTTCATTATCCATTCATTCATTAATGGACATTTAGCATATATCCACATCTTGGTTATTATGAATACTGGTGCTCCGAAATGAAAATATCTCTTCAAGATTCTCATTTCCATTCTTGTGGATAAATGTCCAGTAACCACACTAGTGGATCATAGGGGAGATCTATTTTTATTTTAAAAATCTCTATACTGTTTTCTGTAGTGGCTGCACCATTTTACATTCTTATCAATGGTGCACAAGTCTCAATTTACCCACTCTAGTGGTTTCCAGGGACTGGAGGAAGGAGAAAATGAAAATTTTCTGTCCCATGGGAAGAGAGTTCCAGCCATGTGAGATGGAAAATTTCTAGAGTTCATGTGTGGAACACAGTGCTTAGAGTTAACACCACTGTACCATATACTTGAAAGTGAAAGTTTTAGTCCCTCAGTCATGTCCAGCTCTTTGTGACTGTATGGACTGTAGCCCATCAGCTTCCTCTGTCCATGGAATTCTCCAGGCAAGTTACTGGAGTGGGTTGCCATTTCCTCCTCGAGGGCATCTTCCTGACCCAGGGATTGAACTTGGGTCTCCTGCACTGCAGGCAGACTGTTTACCATCTGAGCCACCAAGAAGCCAGATCACTGGATTCAGAGTCCAGAGCACTAATCATTACATCATGGGCCCCCAGAGCTGGTGCTTTACTGTACACTTAAAATTTTATAAACCAGGTAGATCTCCTGTTATTTGTTTTTTATTACACACACACACACACACACACAAACCCAACTATACATTGTCTAGGACAGACTGACTTTAAATATGGAGACACAGATAGATTGAAATTAAAGGGTTGGAGGAAGATCTACCATGCTAACAACAATCAAAAGAAAACTGGAGTAACTATTTTAATTGCTGATATCACAGCAAGGGAAATATTAATTAACTGTAAAAGGGCATTACATAATGGTAAAAGGTCAATTCTCCAAGAAAACATAGCAATTCTATAAAGTGTATATACCTTACAGTGGAGCTTCAAAATACGTGCAGGCAAACTGATGGAACTACAGGGAAAAATAGATGACTTTACCATTATAATTAGAGACTTGAATATCCCTCTACTATCAATGGACAGAACAAGAGGCAGAAAACAAATAAAAGCAAAGTTGAACCATGCAGCATTATCAATTACCTGGATCCAACTTATATACATAGAACTTATCATCCAGCAAGAGCAGAATGCATATTCTTCTCAAGCTCATGTACAACATTGAACAAATAGGCCACGTTCTAATATCCAGCATGCTTTATTAAATATCAATATAGAAATCACACAAATTTTGCTTTCATAACAAAACAGAGTTCACTAGAAATCAACAAAGGAATAGGAGGTAGAAAGCTTCAAACTATCTGACTATTGAATAACATACAGAAATAAACATGGCTCAAAGAAGAAATCTCCAAAAAATAAAAAATATCTTTGAACAAGTGAAAACAAAGCTTATCAATTTGTGTGGATACAGTGAAAACAGTGATTTGAGGAAAATTTATATCATTGAATGCATATATTAGAAAGAAGAGAAAACTAAAATAAACAATCTAACCTTCTAGATTCTAGAAAAAGAACAGAAAATTAAATCCAACGAAAGGACAAGAAGATAAATAATAAAAATCAGTGCAGCAATAAATCAAACTGAAAATAGGAAAACAATAGAAAAATAAACAAAAGCAAAAGTTAAGAAAAATTGTTTTTGAAAATTGGCAAACATCTAGCCAAGTTAACTAAGAAAAGAGGGAGGGTGTTAGTTATTATCATAAATGAACAAATGCCATCACTATTCATCTCAAGGACAGTATAAGAAAGAAATGTTATGAATAACTGTATGCTCACAAATTTGAAAACATAGATGAAGTGGGCCAACTCATTGAATGACACAGTCTGCAAAAACTCACACAAAGAGAAAGAGAGATCTCAGTAGCATTGTATCTATTGAAGAGAAAAAATAAGTCATTAATAAATGTACAAAAGTGAAAACACCGATCCAGAAACTTTCAAAGATACATTGTACTAAACTTTAAGAAGCAAATTACAGTGAGTTGCTACAATCTATTCCACAAAATCAAAGCATAGAGAATACTTTACAATTCAGTTCTTAAGACTAGCATAACACTGATTTAAAAAGAAAAAAACAATCAAAGACATCAGGAGAAGGAAAATCAGTATTTCTCATGAACATAATT